ACATTAAAATGTCACATCGAGATATAATATTCAGTTTGTTTATCGACAATTTTAAAGGATTACGAAATGAAACCATCTTGTTCACTGTCAAATAGTTGACGAATTATCGATCTCCTGATAGCATATTGACCTCCTAGTTGTAACTTACTTGCGATTGAGAACTATAACTCTTTTTTCTGTTCTTCCAATTTATGTGCTTCGGCACGTACATGTAAAATAGTATTGTAGTATTATTATATCTAGGTTTTAAGCAGTTGAAAAGAATCAATGAAATAAATGAATTTAGATTATTCTGATAAATTTGTTATTCTTGTCTTTCTGAATTAATTTTCTTTAGCACAGTTCAAGTTTAATCCATAAACCTGATTAATGAAATGAAACTTTTAGTCATGTAAATCTTGCAAGTCTTTTTATTTAAAAGCAACAAGTAAGGATTGAAGACATATATAGCTGTTTTAAAATGCACCATTTGATACAATAATTTATTTACCTCCCAAAAAAATATCTATTAAATACTAGCATAAGTATGCTCCAACACAAACGGCCAACAATCTGAATTGTTAATCTATTTTATAGTTTATAAGCATAGATGGATTGTGGCTAGTGATTTCAGATAGCCACTGCTTTGTGCAGTGACGTGAAGTTTAATTCATTTGTGTATTGGTTTTTAGAATCTTCCCGTTGACGTTTAGGACTGCAATTGATCAGTCTCTTATAGGCATATGTATTGACAAGTCTCAAATAGGATGAAACGTGAGTCCCGGATTCCACTGTTAGCCACCATCCATCTCAGCTTATAATGCTCGTGACCTACGGACGATATCGAGGCAATGCGCCCAAAATTCAAATATGCTAATAAGAGACTAATCAATTACAGTTCTAAACATCAATGGGATGATTCAAACAATCAATAAAATAATAGACTATCTTATAGTTTGTAACATCATATTTGCCTATGATCAAAGAAATAAAATATCATCGAAGTAGAAGTTTATTAATTACAAATAAGTATTATCGACAGCATGTCACCTACCGTATGCTACAGTAAGTCTAGGACAATCTTATAGAATGAACGTAAAGTAAGTTTTCTTTTAAAAACCTGTTTAAAATATCATGTCTTAATAAATCAAGTATGGCAATTAGCATTACTTCGTGACAACAAAATAAGTACACCGAAATCTTTAATTTTAGCCAAATGTAGCTTCATTCTAATATTTTGCTACCTGTAGTGACTTACTTTCTTTGTGTACAGTTTAGTTTTTTTAATTTGAGAACACCTATTACTGCCACTAAATCGGTTTGTAATGTGATTTATTTTCAAATCTAATACTGACGATAAATTCCTTTTGTATATATACTAGCCAGTCAGTGATAAGCAATATAAGACCTTGCACATATGTGCATAGGCACAATTTTCCACACCATTTCAGCAAAGAAGGACGAAATTTTAAAAACAAACACTAGATTGGTAGAAGTAATAATTATATCACTGGCAATAGGAAAGATAATACATAGACAATATGATCTCAGAAGAAAGAATGTATACGATAATTTTAAAACTCAAAAACCTAAGAGAAGATAAAGAGTGAACGCACCTGGGTCACTGTAACCTTTCCTAAACTATGCCGTATAACCTCTCTAACTAATGGTTATAGTAATCGCCAAGACCCACATCAGATAGTTTGAATCTACCAACAAAGCCCAGTTCAACTGTTAATCAGGAATAGTCCTATGCTTTTTTCCAACATACATCTACGCTAACCAGCATCACACTTCCAGGTTCATATTTGTTGAATATTCCAATGTATTCAGATAACTAATGATTTATACGATGAATCACAAAAACAGAACGCTTTCTGTATATTCTAACACCCATCAGTATCTACCATGTCCTTTTATGTGTTAAAATTATGTACATACTAATAACTAGACTTGATATAGATTCCTGAAGCTGTACCAACAACGTTTAATTAAGTAAAACTTGTATAATTTATTAAATGAAATAATCATTTAAGCTAGGTATAAGCAGAACATTCCACTTTTATTCAATGATATAAGAATGTTGTGTTTTATCCTCAAGATCTAAGGTTTCAATGCTTTAGCTAATAAAGTCAAACTTCTAAATAAATTTCATACTCATATTCTTCAGAAATTATATCGATATCAATAATATACATTTCTACTCATCTATTTTCATAGGATAATCCTATTCTCATGTTAATCCCTTATTAATACCAGGATGAAATGGTTCAGATTAATTTAAGCTTATTATTATTATTATTATTATTATTATCTAAATTATATCACATTTGAAAATCATTTATTTATTTGTCTGTTTACATGGTTTTTCTTTTCAAAATTAAAAAAAAATTGCTATCTGAATCAAAATATATTTTGTTTTATTCACTCTTATAAACAATGTTAAATTGAAATTGTGAAAAGAATTGATAAATGGCACTTATTTGTTTAACGTCAGTTTGTGCTCCATTTTTCTTTTTTTTTTTCTTTGTGAACACACAAACAAGCAACTAAACATCAAAAAATTTGATCAGTTCTTATTTTTCTTTTTTTTCTTTTTGATATCACATAAGGTTATTAGACTGAAACGGTAACTTGTCATCTATGACTTGATAAACATAGAAAAATAAGACAAAATTTCGATAATAACAAAGAGATATATGATGATGATGATGATGATGTTGATGTTGATGATGATAATGACTCACTTATCTTGAAGTAAGAAAGGATATAAGTTAGATGAATCGATTTGTATACTGAAATATAGAAGTTAAGTAGTGAATGATTAACTTTGAATAACAAAATATTAAATAGAGAATATCACAGTTTCATTTTATTTGTTTTAATCATATACATAAAGAATATTCTGACTTTAGGATATATCGAGGTCACCCGCACAAGATGCACATAGCCAACATGAGACTGATTAATTGCAGTCCTAAATAACAATGGGAAGATACAAGTAAAACAACACCAGGTGCACAAGCAGGTGGCTATCAGGACTCAGTAGCTAAGTGAATAACACGATGGTGTTTGAAGCTCGGTTCCGGGTTCGAGTCCCGGAGTGAACATCAACTCTGTGATGCAGATACACCCGACTGACAAGTCCCAAATGGGACGAAACATGCGTCCTGGTTTCCACTGCTAGCCATTATCCATCTTTGCTTAAAAAGCTTGTGATTTAGGGCTATATCGAGGCAATCCGCACAAGATGCACATATGCCAATAAGAGACTCATCAGTCGCAGTCCTGAATAACAGTGGGAAGATAAAAGTAAAGCAACACCAAGTGGACATAAAAAATATTATTTTGTCAAAACAAAGACTTCAGTTATGGAGTTATATATATATATATATATATATTCCAGTTATTCAGTAAATACGAAGAACACAAGTGTCGGGTATTTGGAAACTCACAGCTATTTATTTTAAAATCTATTAACCAATATTGACTAGTTGAAATTTTGTTTAAATAAAAGTACCTTTTCAGTTAAAATTTGATTTTGGGATGTTTCTGAGAGAACATAAAAGGCACAACAACAAAAAAACATTTCTTGATGACTTAATGATAAAAGATTATCCAGTTGCATCAAAGTTGGTCAATCATCACGAATATAGAGCCTAATGGATGTGCGTTGGCCCAAGTTACCATACAACATTAGTATGATCAAATGTAAATGACAAGATCAATAGCTAGAGAGATCCATATAATTTAGCAGCAATGTTACTGAGAAAAACTAAACATTGGGTACATCATTGGTAAAAATGGAAATGTAAAGTTTACCTAAAAGAATACTGTGACTCAAGGTGGAAGAGTGAGTGGATCTTGACCTTTATGACTGATATAAGCCATATCACGCAAATTCTTTAGCTACAGATTACGGTTAATTTCCTTACCTCAACCAGGTAATGTGTCATCATCATCCCGATCAGTAGTCAATGACTCCATGAACTGATACCATTTCTTAATTCTCTCGTCTGCAAAATTCTTCAATTTTACTTCTACATCAATTAAAAATCTGCTATCCTCCTCATTATCTTTTTTATATTTAAATGCCTCATAAAATATTGTGTAGTGAAACGCCCCTATAATAGAGAATTGATAAGTTTGCATGAAGAATCTGATGTATTTTGTTTGTAGTGGTTCATTGATGATAGATTATTAGAATAACTTATTAGTGGAAATGGAGGGAAGTTTTTCTAAAATATAGAAGTCATTTTGTATAGCTTACAATAACCTCATACAAAATGTCACTCTTTCATTTCCAGTATACAAGGAATTTATCTTCAGCAACGTGATCACGCTCTTGTATCTTTATATTATTGTAAATAATTCATACAAGAAGGTGCTCATAGCTAACATCCCATTTCTTTAAATAGAACCTTTAGAGTAATTTTAAGTTCCTTTAAGATGGATTACTACTTTCTCAACGACGATCTCTACAAAAACTATATTAATGAGATTCCTGAATATTTAGTGAGCAAAGTATCTCAGTAACATATTTTCAGTTTGTAAAGTAATCATATCTGGTTTATGTAAATTTTCCCTGATATGTTACTCATAAATGGTCAAAGTTTCCTTGAGAAGATAGTCTCATCAGGCCATCTGATTTCTCCATAAGTTGCTTATTTGTAAAAAGGTTTTCTGAGAAATTTGTGATATATAAAGTTCCAAAATATCCTACCATATATACCTGGACAAGCAAATATGTTCATAACTAAATATTCTTAGAGATAGAGTTTTTATGTGATTTATTCAGTATGAATATATATTACAAAACGAATTAACTGAAGCTCAAGTGAGAAGCTATGACTAGTGCAGCTTAGCTACGTAGGACAGATATTGACCAAAATCGTCCACTGACTGAAGTAAGAGATGTGAAAAGTTAGATTTCAACTTTAAAGTCTAATTATAAATGAGCTAGCAGCCGTGAGCAATGGTTCGGAATTAGTTTCCTTAAGCTTAGTGATAACTTAGCTAGAATGATTTCAGTTATTTTAAAAATAAACACTAATTTTCCTCGTAAATAAAGTACAGTTATTAATTACACTTTTTCAAAAGCTGTATATCTTTGAGTGTTAAGCAACAACTTTGGCAATGACAATATTGAAATTTCGAAACGGTGGGGATTTACAGTTTCGGTGAATACTTTAAGTATTTTTCAGGTCCTTGAGCTAGATGGTATAATTTAGAAGCTTTTACTGTCGTTCTTTTCAATATCATCATGATTCTGTTACTGACATTTGTATTGTATTGTGGTGTGCGCTACTTATATACACATAAGTAGTATATGACGATAGTCAGGAATAGAATGTATTTTGGTAGAAGATCGAGAAGGAAACAACGGGAACGGAGAGTAATTGTTATGAAAATACACAAACAAATCTGAGACGATGGACTGAGATTTGCAAAAGAAACAGTCAAGTTCGAGACAATTGATTGATATTTTTGCAGGTTAACTATATACTATATGGTTCTCGGATTTTAGTGAGATATTCTGTGTCAGCTTTTCCCTATAACTTTTGAAATCATCTTCAAAGCCTAATTGATCTTTTCTTAAAGTCTCAAAAGTATAAATGATCAGCTGATTATTTCCTGATTGTTTTTCCAAGGTAAAAACGATAAAAGTGGTTTAGTGTTACAGCTCTAAAAAACACTACTGAAATAGTGTACAAGTATACTTTCGTACAAAAAATAAGTCACAGTTAATGGAGATTCTGGGTATTTGGTAATTTAAATTGAAAGTGTTTCCCTATATTCAACTAAACAATTTTAGATTAGATGATTATTTTGACCTCTCACTGATGTTTATTATCAAATCATTCATCGTAAAATATTACTACCACTAGATTTAATATTCACACAAAAAATTCGTTTTACATTGTATTGGGAGGGTACTCAGTTAATGTAAATCAAATTAAGTTATTCATACAACAGACACATCATTTGAACAAATAACAGCCTACCAATGCCATAGATGCTTCTAACGATTGTTAAAATGAGTTTGACTAAATCACAATGTGATCATTATTTAGTATATTCCTGGATTATTAAGACTGTAGGTTTATTTAACTGTATCTACCAATTATGTAGTCAGGATAAACCTTAATGGTTCACATTTATCTTAATAAAACGATGGAAATCCAATCAATCAATAGGGAATTTCCACTTAAACAAAGTTATTACTGGACTGTTAAGCAGTAACCTAATCTTCAGCATTTGATAAATGTTGATAACTAGACACTAATTACTACTAAGTGATCAACGATCGCAAATACTTTGAGGTACAGATGCCGGAAGCTTATTCATTTATGTGACTTAAATCGTATAACAGTGGAACTGTGTATTTTCTCATTTTAGATTATTCGAATCTGCCGTTTTCAAAGGGCTTTTTATTGTAATTGATGGATGTAGATAAACAACAGATATTTCTGTCATTGGTTTATGCTCTTCTTGAGATATATCATTGAAGGAACCTATGACACTGAAAATGACCATGCTTTCTTAAATTCAAACAGTTGAATTCATGAGTCGATCTAAGCTAGACCACCATTGAAAACCTGGAAGTATTGAACGGCCTATTCGTCCTAGTATGGGACTCGTCAACAGTGCACATCTACGATCCCGTACGCGAGACAGAAGGCCTTGGGTTCGGGTCCCATATGTGGGATCGCGGATGCACACTGTTCAGGATTCCCATACTAGGACAAAACGGCTGTCCAGTGCGTCCAGGTTTTCGGCGGTGGTCTAGCTTAGAATAACTCGTGAATTCAGTTGTTAAAATATTACAATCTAAATAAATCCCCATGCTTTCTTAAATTATTATACCTTTATTCATACGCATTCAACTTTAATAGATACTACTATTGAGCTTTCGGGTTAGTGAGTAAGCTCTATGCATATGAAAACAGCCGTTTCCCTGGTATTAACCAAAATTTCTAATAAAATAAATTTTTTTTCTTTGTATCTTCCTTGAATTTATTACAGGTATCCCTGGAAGTTGTGAACTTATTTTAGCTGGTAAACGATACTTTCCTTTTGAATTTGAATTACCTGAAGCTTGTCCATGTTCATTTGTTGGTTCAAGAGGTAGTATTGAATACAGGCTAAGAGTTTATCTATTACTATCGAATGGGGAACAATTATGTGCGGATAAAGGATTAAAAGTTTTACGTAAAACGATCATTAACAAAATGATGGTATGATACTGAATTATTGAAACATTTTCCTTTTAACTACTTGAATGAAATTAATTTGAGTTAACTGGGTGTTTTTTTTTCCAATCCATTTTCCGCTATATAAAGGATTTGTACTTGGAAAAACTCTTTGTTCGTATACTTGATCAATAAAATTTTTGTGTCAGTAACTCTTACGTAATAAGTCAATAATCAATATTGGAATTGTTTAAATGCTCAGTTTTGAATGAGCTATTCGGTATCAAAGTAAATGCTTAAAAATTATCTTCATAATTTAAACTATGAATGAATTTCAACTAGACCATTAACAAAAATCAATAAGCTCCGGGTAACTATTAATTCCTAGCATGAAACTTATGAGCAGTGCACATCCATGACAAACATAATTTGCCCATTACCTGTATTATTTTTATATCTCTAAATATGCACTGATAAATCTCAGTAATAAAATACAATTCCTAAGTAATATTTATTTCATATTAAAATCATATGAATGATCATTGACTAGGAAATAATGAAGAGATTAACGTATTTTTTATGAGCTATCCTAATTGGGACTTGACAGGATGACTCAAAATTAATTTAAGATCTTCAAGGTTGGTCATCAACAAGTAATCATATTTTTCAATGTCGATTAACGATATCATTAATGATATTAATAAGAGCTTCGTTTAATACTGTAAATTATGTTGTAGTACAGAATTCCTGGTACCGTTTGTACATGAATACAAGAAATGTTCTTTTTAATATACATTCAATGTACAATTATCCATATTATGTTTTAAAAATTTTCTTAGCAACCAATATCCTCAACAAGTATGTGATTATTAAAAGTTTCTGTTATTTTATTTAATTTAGTTAACATTTATAACGACTCAGTTCAAACAAATATAAAGCAGTAAGGTTAACTGAAATGTTTGCACAGTTGAAAAATAGGTGGTTCAGACATTTTCATGGACACTCATGTTAGGAAAATAGTAGAGTGTAATCATGGCAGTCTAAGTAAGTTCATCGATAGTTTAAGAGTCTTTTTCATCATTACATGAATCTTTTCTAATTCTAGAAATGTTCACTTTTGATATGAACATTGTGAAATAACCACGTCAATCAATTAAACAATTGTTATCAATATGAGAATTTGTGGAGATTGGAGTACTTTCACAGTTGGATCCATGCGTACGGGATCATGTATGCGCACTGTTCAAGAGTCCCATACTAGGATGAAACGGCCATACAGTGCTTCCAGGTTTTTAATGATGTTCTGGCTTAGATCGACTCGTGGATTCAACTCTGTAAACAGTTGTCGTAAACTAGTGTTTTAAATCTCACGAAGGATGTAGTTAATATTTATTTCTAATTAAAAGTTATAGTTTTAATCAAAAAGAAAAATGAACATTCTACGCCGCGAACATTCATAGTATTTTTTTTAAATAAACAAACTTCAGAAAAGTACAGAATCAGTAAACCTGAATTATGCTGTCAAGCCAAATATAAATGAGTGAATCATTACAAGTTCAGGGTGTATATATCAAGACAACATGTCATCTACCGATCACAAAATAGATGTTATTACTGGTGAATTGTCAACTGTTGATTGTATGATGAATAACTTCACCAATAAAAATATCTTTATATTTTCAGAGATCACAGTGGTATATTTTAATAACAAATTATTATTAGGGTTGAGACCAAGATTTATAGGAAGATTTGCAGTTATGTTTTAAGATTTAAGGTTATGAATTATGGTTGACGTTAGGCTTTACGATTAGTTTATCAGTTTTATTTATTTAAACACATAAACATTGGTACAAGGAGGCACCAAGTAGATATGCGCCACAAAAACCATTCGATTTGTGTGAAGGCTGGGATACTGCCCGGGTGTCCAAACCGAAGCAGGTGGTTTTCTTAGGGGGCCACACCCCGAGCCTTTGACCTAGAGGTCTGACCCACAAGGCAGTGGAGCATCGTGAGGAGATGCAGTCCTATGGTAGCCGATGACCAACGATTGGTTCACATGCCATTTGTTCCCGCAGGATACCGGAGCTCATGTGCACCATTGGTTCGGGATCCGGTTAAAGCGCCGGACATTGGCTTTTCGTCCTCTCAATTTCGTAAACAACACCCCCGCCACGAGAAGGCAGTGAGTAGGACTTCCCTGGCAAAAGCTGTATACGCGTGACCGTGTGGGAGCATTTTGAGAGGGAGGGAGGGCCCACCCCACTCTCGGCCATACCAGGGCATTTGAGGGCAGTATATCAGTACTCTAACTCTACATCCGATTCTCGATTCTTAACCATACACCATAACCACAGCTCGAATGTTATAAATTATTTATTAATATCAGAAGGGGTTTTGTGGATAGTTGAGATCATGAGTCAATTTAAACCAGACCATCATGAAAAACCTGGAAGCACTGGACAGCCGTTTATTCCTACTGTGGGACTCCTAGGCTGTGCATATCCACGATCCCGCCTCGCGAAATTCGAACCTAGGACCTATCAGTCTCGTTAGCGAGCGCTTAACCACTAGACCTCTGAGCCAGCATCCAATAGTGTTAATGTCTAACTCCAACTAATCCACGAAATTGAGTCGCAAACTTCATCGTATAGTTCACCTTTATTCAGAGAAGTTAATCAATTTAATGCCATAAAAGAATAGTCTTTTTAATCTTGTTTTTTGTCTACAATTTACAGGTGATTCCAAGTACATTGGCTTGTCCTCCAATTACCAGAAATTATGTGAGCAGTTTTGATCAATTCATATCATCTAGTAGCAACACAGTGAAATTTATAAACTTATCAAGAACATGTTCACGATTATCAAATTTATGTAAAAATGAAACAGAAAATATTCTAGATGAGTATGATAACAGTAGTGAAAAATTAATTGAGAAAAATTCAGTGTTCGATTCCACTTTTACAAATGATTACATACCAGATCGTTTATCATCGTTAGGTCAGAGTGCTTACTCTAACACTGATCTAGATGATACGACTAAATTAACTAAATATTCGTTGAGTTCTTGTTTAAATGATTCTCATCAAAGTAATCCATATTTAAATTCTATGCAATCAACAGAAGATGAGAACCAATATCCAAATAGTGAAAATGATCGAAATAACAATAGCATGCAATCAATATGTAAACCCCATTTTAACCGTGCTACGAAAATGAAAAAGGCACTATATAATTCACTAAGTAAAACAACACTAACTGTACAACGATGCAGTGATAATCCATATCCATTACCTTCTACATGGATTTCTCAATCATACGGTTCATCTTATGCAATATATCCACGTACATGTCTTGGTGCTCAAACAGGATATCCAATTTCTTGCAGATTAACTGTCAGTCAACGTCAACTTAATCCAGGCAGTCGATTGACAGCATGTTTAAGTTTACTAGTGGAAGATCCGTTTGCTCTTCTGATAGCTCCATCACTCAATGGTATGTCGAGTGATTTGAATTGGTGTGCAAAATTTAATACAAATATTAGTTCATGCAAAAAAGACTTATGGAGTCCATTGGCAAGAGCATTTGTTTCGTATTATTTAGAAGATTGTATACGACAAAAGTTTAGTAACGAGAGTCAACAACTTCATGGTATATGGTGGTCAGGATATGTTAAACAACGACACAGAATATTTTTAGTACTACGCCAGGTATGTAACATTTATTTATGAGACCTGTATCTAGTTTGAGTTTATACTATTAGCAGTTATAAATAATATTAACTCGGAATATTCAAGCTGTAGTGAATAATTTGTCTGAATTTATTTTCTTTTTACTAAGTAAAATATTGAGTAAATTATGTAATCAGTAATTATTTTGGTTTCAGTTTGAAAATAATATTTTTGCTAAAGAAAAATATAAATAAACCAGCTTCCTATTGATCATTATTTAAAATCGATTGTCCAATGTTCTGATAAAAAAATTATTGATTAGTGAACACAGTGAACCCATATTTAGGTAGAATAACGGTACAATTTACTTTACAAGCCATCAGATACATGACCTTTACAAATAAAATACGCAAAGATTCGTTTCGCTTATACTCAGTAGTATTTATTAGAAAGATATTTACATCCCTGATAACAGTATTGAAATATTACATAAGCGAACAAGTACAGTACAGTACATATGCTGTCATTGAGACGGTGCGTTTACAAACCGTGCATTGGTTTAGTAAATTACTCAATTTTCCCAGATGTGAATATAGTTAGAAAATATCATAGAAGAATGTCTAGTACCAAATCTTCGAAAATACACTGTCTATTTGACAGTTGATCATTCAGAAATCTGATATTTTAAGTGGATTCCTTTCGATATCTTATTATTACATAGTAATTAAGTTCGTTATATGTTACATTGAAAGCAGATACTTCATTACTTTCGAATAATATAAGTTAGGTGACTTCATTATTTCAAGAAATAGTCACTTGTTTTACTCTGTCAGGAACAATCACCTTCTCTACTTCACGTTTATTTTACTTCGTTTGTCTGTGAAATTGAATGTATGAAATATATACATCAGAAACACTTTCATATTTGACTATTTATTATTTACATTGGATTAACTTGGTCAGTAGACAGAAATTATATATGCTAGTATAACTAACATTCTGTTATCATGTACATTTACACAACTAATCATAATGACAAATGTAATTATAGTAGCAGTACTTAAAGCACTAATATATAGATTACATATCCAAAATGTTGAAATCGATCACTGTTTTTACAATTTCCACATAAGTCAAAATTTATGATTAGCTGAGGAGGCATATAACTAGTGATATGTGTCTGATAATCAAATGTAATGGGTATGAAAATGCAACGTTTGAATATATCAGTAATAAAATGATAAACACCACTTTCTGTCTTGGTTAGTCCAGGAAAATATACAAATATTATAAACTTCTTTAGGTTACTGACTGTGAGTTTTGTAAGTTATACTGTGTTAGAGTCTAGTTTTCCCTAATACTATATTTTGAAAATAAGGTCCTTACGGGCTACTGAAACCGAATTCCATTACTGAGTGGTAATATTTGGGGAATTATTAAAGACCAACGAGAGTTAAACTAATTCATCGTAGTACTGATTTCTTCAGTAATCCATAAACACCGGCTCATCATGTACAAAGCCTGAAACATTTAGTTCACTTGATAAGAACTACTCCTAAAGACCACTGACTAATATAGTGAAGGAGGACTTGATCGGGAAAATCATACATGAAATATATCATTTGCATATCTTCCCCGAGTTGTCCTTTATATACTCATCATTCTTTCAATCCCGTTGTTATTCTGATCTTCCGCTGTTTTCTTTTTTTCTCTCTTTGTTTCAATCTTCTACTGGTAAGCATTCTACTTTCAAGTCCTGCTACATACTACTTATATATGTCCGCATATGTAGCGCACACATCACACTGGGAATCCAGTAATTCATAATCTTAATTTCATTTGATTCTTAGACTAACACAGTGATCATCTAATGTTACTGGTTAAACTTGATTTATTTCCAGTGAAAATAGATTTTATCTGCCACAACTTCTCACTTTACCAATCCATCTAGAATTTAGTACTCAATTAACCCTTAATAATAACGAAATAGGATGTCTTGTATAAACATCTGATTCATTAGACTGATTTCAGCTTAAAAGTGATCGAAGACACATTTCTTCAATAAATATCTTAAAATAAACACAAACCTAATCAATTCAAGTCATACAAAATGGTTGAAAACAAATTCTTTTTCTAAAGTACAAATTGAGTAAGCTGGAAATCATGTTAGGGACATTAATTTTTGCAAAGTATGTACAGTATTAATATACATCATAGTGAACGACAACATTTCGATTTCAACGAAAGATTACTGCTGAATTTGTGATTTGTGAATCCACTCAACAAATTTCTTACAGGTTTGCAATGCAATTCAGACAATTTCAAACTATATAAATATAGTTCCTTTTTTCCCCAGGTAATAACTTATCGAGACTGGACTCACCGTGTTATTGCTCAAGAGGAGAGAGATGTTTACAGTGGCGAAATGAGAAAGCGTCCTACGTCTGAAAAACACTTATTACGAGTTGCATTAGAGCATACATTTCACTTACCTTCGTTACCGCCAACTGGTTTAGAAGGTTGTTCATGTATAGACATTGCATACAGTCTAGGACTGGTTAGTTTCAAACTGAAAAAATTAAAGCATCCATTGAAGGTCACTAAATGGATTTTAGAGAGTGATATTGCTTCAGTTAAACCAGATAAATTTATGGAATTTGTTTATATGCATGAAACAGGTAGCAGTAGCAATGGTACATATGAATTAATGTCGAAGAAACCTCAAATTATTACATTTCAACAGTGCAAACGAGGTAAAGAGAAGGAGTTTAAACGGTTTGCTCGTATTCATCACGATCTTTTACTACCCATTCCGATTATTATTGGAACAAATGATCGACAAATAGAGTCTTACAATCAAATGGAATCACAACAAACTGAATGTAAGTTGATATTGTCAACTGATAGCCTTGTTTTAATTTCACTTTAGTTCATTATATAATATATTACACGTATTGTAAATGTATCACCACGGGTTGACGACATAAACTATGTCCCGCCATACTGCTTGTAATCTTTTACACATAACAAAGAACAACATGGGAGAATTCCCTTGTTAGCTCTTTTGATAATCTTAGCATATTAACCCAAACAGTTCTCTGGTAATATCAGATGTTATTTTGATCATCATATGTGACATATAAAAACTTGTGGAGTTCACAACATAGTCTGAAAATAATTTAATGATCATAAATTTACCCGTGAATAACGTTTATCCATGTAGTCATTTGTCATCGGATTTCAGTGAATTAAACCAAAATCTTTAACCGTTTTTAGTTCTTTTTAATCAAATATATTCCCTCTAAAATTTAACCTTAACCAAACGAAATGATGGAATTTACCTTAATTGAAATGACACATGTTTTCTTTGTAAAACAATACAGATCACTACACTTATGTTTACACCTACATAAAAGAAACCCCTTAAATATGAAGTGTAATATGATATATTTTTATAAATTTGAATATTTAAACTTGTACATTTATCTCTATATTTGACATTAGTAATACTTGGCTGTCATGAAAAACATGGTCACGATTTGTGAGAATTAAGTAGTTATTTTGAAATATAATATTATAGATACTTGTTATTCGATGAAAATTGACATTTATTTATGTAATCTCATTTGGAAAGTTGTATCCTTAGTAAAAAAACCTTATATATTTGGCTAACTAGAGCTCCCTGATTCTGTGTCCAACATAACTAATTGATATGAGTAGCATTTAGATATCTTGATTACCTTTCATCGTCTTTTATGAACAATATTCGCTCATAAGTTAAAAAGATGAAAGAATGGATTGGTAATGGAAACTTTTCTGATTGAGATCATGAATTGATCAGTGTTAGACCATCATTGAAAACCTGAAAGCACTGAACGATCGTTTCATCCTAGTAAAGGACTCACCAGCAATGCGCAATCACGATCCCACGCTCAGGGTTCGAGCCCGGGACCTTTGGAAGATTTTCTGCTAAATTAAGCAGTGAGTATATTACGACCGGAATTTTGTAACGATGTAGACGCTATATCACATTTCACAAAAATCTCTAAAGAGAAGCTTCTTCCTGTAGATACTGAACTACATTGATAATGTATAGCCTTCGGAAAACCAGTAGATCAGAAGTTGAAATCCAGATTAGCACAAAACTGTAATCATTGATGTCACAGAACTACTAAATAAACCAATAGTTGTAATTTCTCTCAGTTTTGACAGTTTTGTGACCTTAATTTCTCGCTCGTTTTTTATGTGGATAATAATCCTAGTGATTTAATATTTTCTCGACAATTAACTTGAATGTCTTGGATATTAGACACCAATATATGATTCAGTTAGTGTGATTCAAAGGTTCGGGTGCTTAGTTTATGTTTACGTGTGTTATATTTGATGAAAAGAAATTTTGCATATGCCAAGTCACATGCGGTTACAGTTTGGAACAAAATAGACCTTCACAACATTTGAAAACCTGTGTTATTTTGCTTTGAAACCACCTACATCATTGAAGATATCATGAAAAGTTTGGAGTTGAATAGCGTTTCCTATAACCTTCTGAAATGCTTATAAAAAGAACAAATAGAGCGGAGAAATCCCTTCTCATTTAGTTTTTTCATCTCTGCCTTACGCTAATATTTATGTATGATTTACAACAATTAAATAACTTTCGTCGAGTTGTTGTGTTACGCAATAATTATATAATGTCACTTTGATTATGAAATAGTATTGAATAACTGGATGAAAGAGGATCGTAACAATCAAAGTAATTATCTGGAAAATCAAATAGTTGTCACATTGAATAATACATAAAAAGAGCTAACAAGATATTTCGATAAAAGGTCGGTAATATAGTAGTTATGTAAGAATCAAGAGATGAATGTTGAAAATATGTAGAAATACAGTAATAGAAGAAATTAGAACATTGTTTAAATACTTTTAAAAGAAAGGGTTAAAGTCCAGATAAGCACTAACTCCGATACCGATGGTCATGGTGGCGCGAGCGATTGTAGAAACTTCTTTTGAATCCCAAAGTTAATTTGTGAACATCGATTCTGATAGCTTCAGGAATATGCAACAGACGAACTCGTAAACCATGTGGTAAACGTGATGGAACATGGTGGATAACCTTAAAATCTTTATTCAAGTCAACTTAGTGACCTGTGTTTACCAAGTAAGCGAGAATGGAACTCTTAATCAAATTTATCTGTCCTTTGCTCAACTTAGATGGATGGTGTTCTGCCATGTGATAATGTACTTTCCGAATGGTACACACTTTAGAGCTGGTTCCAATGGAGCAGTTGAATTGGTAAATGTATATGGATGTGAAGAATTCAAGCAATCTGTCTTTATTGATGGTTTTTATTGTCGTGTGGTTACAGAAAACCATATTCAGTTTATCTGCAGTAAATGTTTTCTGCACAGCCTTTCGTAACTACTGTGTTAGTTTCTTCGGTAGCATCATTTAGGAGTTGTAGTGCTAGTTGGAAAGAGATTTCTCTGCTCTTTTTACTTAATATCATAATGGGTATTTTAATTGTTACGCTCATTTTTGTGTACAGTGACAAAAAAATTATAACAACTATCTTACAACCAATTTCAATTGTGGTTAATTTTGGTTAAGCCCTTTTATTAACTTAATTAACAGATAATGTTATTAGAACAGTAACAATTCGCATATTTCTTTGTACTGTACTGTCACTAGATCACATAACAGAATCTAGCTAAAATGTTGATCCCTTAAGTATCACTTGATGATTCACTCTCCTCCCCAGGTATATATGTACTCAAATCCTATTATTAGGTTTTCTTTTACCTTACTGTGCCCTTATGAGATTTAACTATAAATTTGCCTATGGTATTTGTTTGCACATACATATTCTCCTCTGCTTGAAATTCGTTTGATGTGCTTATGGCTTTGTGATCTTCGCTACCCGCTAATAAACTGTAGTTGCCGCTTCTGATTTCAAACACCGTTGAAAGTTATAACGGTTATCGAGGTGATCGATTAACGAAGCAAAGCCATTACAAACTCAGTATCGCACATTTTAGTGAACACTGAGTTTTATTTAAAGTTGACCGTTTGATAAACCACTTTACATTTTGTTTGAAGGTCCGTTAATGAGTTCAGTATTTTTCATGCAATGGCCAAACAGTTTTCAAATTGGAAGTTTACCACCGATATATCAGTGTTCAACAGATTATTCTGAAACTTATCAAGATGGTAGCATTCACACTGGTTATGTAAGTCAGTTATCAAATACAATCCAAGCACAATCACGAAATGAAACCATAAAACTGCGAAAAAGCAATACCATAAGTTTCTCGGATGAGAAACAAATAATCTACGATGAAGATGATGACAGCGTTGAAAATTCTTCAGTCGTCAATAAAGCGCACACTTCTTGTACAATTTATAGACCTACAGAAAAGTATAACACAAAAGATAGTAATTCAAGAATAAATCTTTATCCAAGGATCATTTAGAATGGAGAAAATTAATTAGATCATAAGTCTACTTGAAATCATCCAAACAGATACAATCAGTACAAACAGACAGGATAAGAAAAGTGCTTTGAAGAATCATTCATTCCTTTAATTTATATGTGCAATATATGCTCTAAATCAATGTTTAAACCACATTGGTGATTTTCAGCTAAACAAAATCTCATGTCATTAAATTATTACTTTTATTTTAGAAAACCTGTCACCTTATACATGTTTATATTCCTTCAAAAAGACCACTTTTGTTAAACAATTAGTTACTATATATTCCCAAACTTTTTATGTTATTTTCAGTATTCTTTAAGAAACCTGATCCATTTTGATCTCCAAGATCATTTTAGTAGATATCAACAAATAAGAGTGTAGATCAGATATCTAATGGCAAATGTTACTTACTTCAGATAAACAAATTCAAACAAGTTGGTTTCTGATTTGTAAATTTGGTTGACGTATGCTTTACTATGTGTGTTCTGTTCAACTTAATCAAAATTCAAACTTTATTTAACTTCAGGCTGATGTGTTTAAATATTTCTATCTTATGCTGATCTATCGAATAAATATTAGCATCAAAATACCTAACCAAATTTGTGAGCAGATAATCTTCTTCCTTTATTACTTCGCATAAATCCACCAAATCTAACTATTCTACTGTAGATTCATTTCAGACATTTTAATATTTTTAAAAAGTATCAACAAGCTGTCCATTGAATCAATTTGACAACAGGGGCTGTTTAATTCTGTTGTTTAAAGTAATAACAAGTATTTAAATGTGTGACAAACGTCAGTGACCAATTAATGAATTAACACTTATTACCTGAATAATCTTGGGTTATTCTAAATAATAAGCCCCCTATCAAACATTATTGGAAACACTAAAATCAAATTATTAGTCAGCTTGTTAACATATAGAAGGTTGAGCTAAAACTATACATATAAGTATTCATCAAATGCAATTTCCATATAGTCGTTTAGATTCTAAACTGCTTCCTTAATTTATTATAAGTATATTTAATTCGTAGTCATCTTTCTTGGGTTGCAATTATATGCAAACAGTTAGTTTTGCATATTTTTTGTTAGTCAAACAATGTATAACAAGTTCTATGAAATTATTTTTGGGAAAAAATAGTCTGGCAATTCAGATTCAGATCCGTTTTTTTGAAGTAAACATTCAGAAATTAATTACTATTGGAAGCAATCGAACTATAAAGATTCTGACAAATGATGGTGGATATTCTACAATTATTACACAACAGCTAATATTCAGACAATTACTATGTATATTGGTATTGAATTCAAAAGTCCAAATACTTTGAAAACTTCAGATTTGGTCTTTTTGTTTATTGCTACTTCGATAACTTTCTTGTGTATGGTTGGTATTATAATAAGTTGCTGTAAGTTTATATAGAATTTCGAAGGACTTAATTCTTAAGTTTTCAATTACTATATGCAAAAAAATAAAGAGGCATATAAGATTTTAGTTACTCGTTTAACTGAACTCGTTCCGGATTCCTAAGAAGTCAGTTCTCAGCTAGCATTTACCGTGTTGTAGTGTAGTAAAACTATTGCATAAATTTAGGGATAAATCTTTGACGAAATTAGATGGATCAAACCTTTTATCTGTGGTGAAATAATGTTCAATGAATGTGCTTGAACTGTTGTGGCCAAAAAGCTAAAAATCAACTCTAACAACCAAAATAATTTTAACAGTTTACACAAAGCACGATTCCATCTAGATGCGCTCTTTATCTATTTTTGATGTTTTTACGTTAGTCATAAACAACTCTAATTATGTAGCTGACCAAACTTCACAGCTACTTGGTTGAAGGACATTTATTTATAATTATTTATTTGAACACAAAAAATATTTGTACAAAGAGGCACCGAATTCATATGCGCCACACAAGTCACTTGATTTGTGAGTGGGCTGTGATACTGCCCGAGTGCCCAAACCGAAGCAGATGGTTTTCTTAGAGGGACACAACCGGAACCTCCGACCTCAAGGTCTAGTCCACAAGGAAGTGGAGCAACGTAAGCAGATGCAATCCCATGGTAGACGGTGACCAACAATAGGTTCATGTGCCATTTGTTCCTTCAGGAACCTGCAGCCTATGTGAACAACTGGTTTGGACTCAAGGTTTTCCAACTCCTCTGGGTGGGCTCTCCGTGTCCACCAACTCGGCTAAGGCGCCGGACATTTGCTTTCCGTCCTCTTAATTTCGTAAACAACACTCCCGCCGCGAGAAGAAAGTTAGTAGAACTTTCCTGGCATTGGATGCGTACGACATCTCGTTATCGCTCAAATTATGAATACACTTTTTATGGAGTTCTATGCATGCTGGAACAGGCTAGATGAAAACGATACACAACAATTGGCTTTAAATCACCATATGAAAGAGCAGAGAGTTTTTCAAAGACGGGGGTTTCCTCAGGAGGTGTTTTTCCTGTTACATTTCGAGAACACCGCGGACTTGAAATGACTTGAAATTTTCGATCTATATCTCATGCTATACTGCCAGTCGGACCGGTGACCTGTTTTGCCAATTTGTACAATGATCAATAAGAGAGCACCAAGGTCTTAACGCCTATTGGTCCTCAAGGCCTTTTCTAATATAGTAGTCAATCAGAAAATGATGATAAATGACAGACAAGTCTTTTAATACCCCAATTCGATTATGACTAAAAACCCCTTCGAGAATATAGTGTGAACGTCTGGTCTAGCAGCACTTCAATTACAATTATAATGTAAATTGTATAGGTCGAACGTGACAGAACATACTTAGTTAGCGATAATTAAGGGATTGTAAGGCGTATAACAACATTCAAATGTACATTGAAAGCTCACAATAATTAGAACTTATAAATTGACCATAAAATCGTCTGCTAATAATACAATAAAGATATAAATGATATTATTAATAACCTGAAGGATATCACCGAATATTTCAACTTTCCCAATATTCGTCTCGCGATGAAGTTACTTCTATTCGCACATCCACGGTAGATTTAAACACAACTTATCATCTAACAGATTCTTCCAATTTTTAGAATACTCTCATTTGTCATCAATTTAGTGGCCGTCACCGATAGGGACTTTTAGACATCCACTTGCTTCCATTGTTAAGAACTGAATAAAGTGGAAATTGGTAATTCTAGAATTAAATCTTACAGTGTTTGTTCTGTAATTTAAGTGCTTTAGAGCACCTACAGGGTCTTAGACTAGTATCCTCGGTTAAATTACATCGTTGTTCAAGTCAATCAGCATATCGAGAATAGATTTTGTATCTACCAGAAAAAACGTTATTTTTTTAGTCTACTAAAAAGTGCCTTCTAGAAATACTTTTGCTCATTGTACGAAACCCTAGAAAAGTTTGCGAAACGTCCTTGTCATTATAATGTAATCGACAATAATGCAACTGAAAATAATTAGTAATAGCGTGGGACAAATGCTATTCAATAATCAAAATTGAAGGTGTTAGTATGAGGGCTGCAATCCGTTACACAGATCATGTTTGAAATTCCTTGCTTTCTTTTTTGACAAATATTAAATTGACCTCATTTCACTCACACACGTACATTTTGTTAGACACCGCACATATCAGCTCTCCATGAAACATAATAACCCAATTATCCGTTCACGTATAACGCACTCATTTTCGTAGCTATCGTTCGTAATATCATGCGCTCACTTGCATTCATCTGTCTCTGTTCGACTTAAGTTGGACTGTTCTAGTAATTATTAGTTATCACGTCAATTTGACTACCATCTTGTAACGGTAAATAAATCCCCAAAATAAATAGCTTTGTAAGTTTCCGACATTGGATGGTGACCACATTAGTTTTAATGGACCCACCTAGTTGAAGGCACTCGGTCATGCATCCGCACCAGATCACGAGTGGCAACGCCGGGCTCAACAACCTCTACAATCGCTAGCCAGATTAGATCAGACGATTCTCGATATATTGATAGTCTATCAAATATATCTTCGAACCTCCCCGTTTCTGCCTTTTGATTTCACTTGGTGTGTACGATTCATAGTAGAATATGTTAGTGGTTAAAGCGTTGTCAAACACCAAATACCTGTGATATCTTCAATCTTATTTGCGTCACGACGGTGTTTGTGATTGAACAGTTAGATATACATCTAAATCCTGAAAAATTTTGATCTTTCACTTGGAGATGGATAGCTGCAGTAAATGGCGGTGAATAAATTCCAAAAATCAATAGCTATGTAAGTCTTTAATCTTTGATGCTGATCGCATTTCTTTTACTGAACTCACACAGTTGAAGGCACTCCTTTACGCAAAATGATGTCGTTATTCAAATTTGCTCCTCAAGTGTACATGCCGTACTCATTGCTGGTGCGCTATACGTTGATATTGGTGCAGTTTTGGAGCAGGGAGATAGACCGGAAAGTCCAAAAATCAACTTATAAAAGCGACTCCATGGTCAGTGTCGTCTGAAACCTGACAGAGAATTCATGCAGGTTGTTTCGATCCATTTCTCGGCCTGAGGTTTTTTCACAACCTCCTCAAATTCCGATATCACAATCTAGACACTAAGTAAAGTGTTCGGTCTGTAGGAGGTCCTCATAGCTTGATGACTGATAAGGGCTCTCACCTGCCTTCAGATATAGTCCCTATCTTGTTGAATGGTATGATGCATACATTTCTGTCCGCTGCTCGTAAACACCCTTGTTCCAATGGTCATTCAGAAAATTTTGTTGGGATATTAAAAACTGCTAATAATTCCATTTCTGCTGAAATATAGGAAAAGTGAACATTCTACGACGAATGAGACTCTGAAAGTATTAAAGGAATGGATTAAACGTTAGAATGTAGGGTGTTTAGTGTCCATGAGGGTTACGTATTGTCGTGGAAATGATCTTTGATCTTCCTCAGGGATTGTGACGAACTGTGTTTGAAAATCTACGGTTATCGATACCAATGAATCAAGTATGAAGTGTCGGTCGCTATGTGAAGCCCACATAGCTTATTCTAACTTCCGGACGAGCCAATTTGTCCATTCTTCTTGAGTAACACTTGAACCTTGTTAATTATTCGCTAATCAACCTTGACCTTTTTTATGCAAGTATATGCATGGATTTCCTATTTTACTCACCACATGTCTGTAACGTATTTTTGTTTGATTATAAATGTTGAGTTAAATTGATTTGGCCCATATGGCTTCTCCGGTCCGTTTTTCTTTGCTCTCTACGCTCACTCTCATTTACTTCCCTCTGTTCTCGCTTCCTGTGTTGATTGTGGATTTCTACTAATTATAAACAATGTAGTATCCCTAAAACTGGCGTTCTGGCTTTTCAACGATCTCGAGTGGACTCATAATATTACTAGGAGACTTGGCCTGCGTAGATACACAGTCAACGAGAAACTATTTATTTGAATCGGCTATAAAGGAATTAACCTCTAGAAGTACGAACAACTGACATGTTGATCAAGTACAATTCCAGGAGCTAGGTGGGTCTGTTCCATTTTCACGTGTTTATTTTGACACTAATGAATAAATCCCAGATCATCATAGTCTTTATATAACAGTCAACAAAACAGACACCTAATGGGTCTAAGGCGATGTAGAATGGACAACAGAAATCTGGAATTACATCAGAGCTGAAGTGGTTGTGTTATTTGTATGAACTGGTAATCCCAACGATCTTATTCGTACGTCTATTACGAATTCAAAATATCACACTTCCACTTGTATTCATCTGGTCATATAATATTTAAGTTGGTAATTCTTGATCACCAAAACAATTTTACTAGTACTAATTATCGTACTATACACACTGGATCGATTTTGACACAAAATTCCTTCTTTGATGTAAAAGCAGTGCGTAGTGTTACGCAGGAAAGTCAATAATTAAGCTGATTTGAGTTCAAGAGTCACAATGGAGTCTGTAGAGGGAGACCTAATCCCGAAATTGTAGTTTTGTCATGATAATACTACTACCTAATCTAGAAGATCTCAAGTGGAAGCCACATCATAGTCTACCCGACTTTCCCTACGTGACAATCACCCATACGAAGAACACATTAGGGCTAGGAAGAGTATGATATATTTGAAACAAAAAGCTAGAGGTTACACCGAGTGACCATGCCAGCATGGCTGTGGCATGTAATTTCGGTCGATCGTTCCAACATTCACTATATTCGACTTAGAAAAAGTGTTACAGTTTGAAAGGCAACCTTCTCAGTTATCATATATTCCGTTTCAGAGACCATATGGTTAAGAACCACTGCTGCTACAAGTCTAAAAACCTCTTAAGTTACCTCTAGCAATGGAAAATAGTCTGTCCACTGAATGGACTCAATATATGTAATAAACTCATGACGTATTTGTAAAAATTTAATGATGTATTCGCTCTCGCTCCTGCTCTCGTATAAGCATTGTCTAACAAACCACATTTACAGCTGAGTTAGTGGACTGATCTCACTATAAAGTACCATCACTAAAGAGTGTTACATCGCTCATACTTAAGTATAGTTACAAAGAACTCTCACAGCAACTCCAAACAATATGGATGTCAACCTATTATAACGCATCCAAAGAATTGCAAAGTACTCAACTCCCTTTGAAACCCTTAATAAACAACCAATACAATTTAAGCATGTTAGAGATTTATAGTTATGACAGATCATATACTTCGGTCGAATGAATTACTGAAACTTGGGAAAAAGAAGTCACACCTGAAGTAACGTCCATTCCAGACATAATGCGATAGAACTGGCGCGAAATTCAGCTCAATATTATCAATAAGTTGAAAGCAAGTAAACCAACTGTATGTGATACAACTCTGTCGGAGAGGCAAATAATGAACCCCCGGAGTCTACCCAGAATGGATGCTGCACTCTGAAATCGTGTGGAGAAATGTTAAAACAGTTATTATAAAAGAAAAAAGCGAGTCAGAGAGTTAGTTAATACATGGAATACACCATCATTCATTCACAAATTCAGTTGACAGCAAGTATGAGAACGGCAACTGAGATAAATAAAATCTAGTAATCACATTTGGGATTCAATTTTTATCGATTGGAATTCCGAGACAGTAGCGCCTAGTTTACAGGGTGCGTTGCCCTGATTTTTTTTGGTTTGTGCAACTAAGTCTTCTAGTATAGTTTCGGTCGTCCTTCACATTTTGAAAACTGAAGAATAATAGACCATCACGTTCCTCAAAGTTGGGTTGAAACGTTGGCTGACTTTCATATTCACTGGGGATGATATTCCCAGGTTACTCGATGCATACAAATTTAGGTACCTATGTAGTAAAAGAAGTTAGTCAAAAGTGATGACCTGTGGGAGCATTTTTACGTAGTTACTTCATGGATACCTCTTTTGTATACATATCGGCTATTGATCTCGGTCTACATTTTTTATAATCATAAGTTATCACCTGTGGACAGGTGTATAAATATACGTTTCCAGTTTGCTTGAACTGAATAGTCAGATTTGCAATACCTACTAAAATGATTGGGGATTAAATCTGAAGTTGTTTTGATAGCAGAAGACTTTCATTTTAGGAAGACGTTTCATAAGTGACTTCTATTTAGTTACATATTTTAGTAAATTAATACAAAATGTTTTGAGGGAGTTATTGTACAGTTATTTTATCGTCTACATGTTTTATTACTTATCCGATTGTTTTCATCGTCGATGTTTACTACACTGACTGCTGTTAACAACTAAAGCTTTAGAAAAAATATGCTTGTACTCAACAGTTTTCGACGGTTAATCAACACTCAGTCGATATCATTCCAACCAAGTAGGTCTCTCGATTCAACCTTGTAATTTTTTATCAGGGATTAGAAAATTATTTATTCAAGTCCAAGAAACTCCCAATCCTAACAGCTTAAAATATTTTCCTGGTAAACCTGTACTAGGTTCTGGTACTAGAGACTTTCCATCCTGCACGCAATCCACGTCTTCCCCGTTGGCTAGGTGCGAATTATTTTAAATTATTGAAAACTTTAGACAGTTGTTTCGAATCGAAGGGGTTGAACGAGTCTTCTTTGGTCCTGATTTCATCACGATTACTAAGGTCGGTTTATGATTTTTCCGATATGACAAGTGGTAGAATGACGACTTCGAATGGGCTGTAATAAAACCTGATGTATATGCAACTATAATGGATTTCTACAGTTCTGGACAACCTGTTGTCAGTGAAGAAAAAACACAAGACTTAAGTAAGATACTGCGATATACAGTAATTTGATTGTCATTTTTGTTGATGTTCCAATTTTAAAATATTTCAAACGTTAAGTATTACCTTTTAGTCTGTCGTACTTTCAATGTTCTAACATGTTAATTATCAGGGGTTCGGAGTTCCATGTGGCTCTTGCTCGTCAGTATGCACTCAACTGGTTTACAGTTAACGACATCACTTATTTTAACAATTCTCAATGTTCATTAATAATTACTCTTACTATCATCCTATGGTTGCTTCTGTGTGTTTGTCCAAAACTGAAATAAAAGGCGTTTTCAAATCACACCTCATCTATTACTCCTATAGTCACCATTTTACCTACTGCTAACACTTAATTTTGATGTCAAGCAGTTCTGAAGTGTTTTTCTTGTAATTTACAAAAAATCTTAAGATAACTAAATACTTAATTTTTTTTTCATAGTCTTCATGTAATTGAAGTGTTTCATTTGTATAATTTTCGTCAACGTGAGGACTTCATGATAGAGGAACCGTCCGTGAAACGCCAAAGATAAACATATCCACATACGTAAGTGTTTAAAAAAGTTGACATGGAATTGTAGTAACTGACATGTGAACACTGTTTCCTGTCGTCAGATTAGATGACAATATTTATTTAACCCTTTCGTGACTATCTAATTTCGAATGAAGAAGCTTTTGATGTTCCTTTTTTTATAACCAGCCAATTACGCAAAGCGTTTCCTGGAGACAGTCGAATTGTCTTGTCACTACCAACAAATATAGATAGAATTAATTCCTTATTCGAAATCCTGATATGTGACAACGATTTAAGTAAAGAAAATCCGACGAAACTCTGATCTTGCTGCTTTACTTCTTTACATTGACGAGTTCCATACAGCTACTAAATGTTGTTGAAACCTGCAATTTTGGAGGTGATTTTACACGAACTTATTAATATATACCTGTCAAATGACATCTCAGTTTTACGTCAGCTGTTTCTGTTGATTGGATAAAAGCTTTTATTCAGTCGTCCATGTACTCTCAATCGGTGACATAACTTTTGGAGTTTAATTACTGTTTATATACTATGTATTCTAAGGAATTTTTCAAAGATGAGTTCAGTTAATATTACAAATCCTTCCTATTTGAATTTTGTACAATGGTCAGGTTCGTTGCTATCAAATAATTGATAATCTTTCGGATCTATTATCATATCATTTTCAGCAGAAGTTAATATGTGTAAACTTTCAACTATGCTCTTTGTACATACTTCCGAATGCTAAAATGGTACTCTCCAAAAACTTACAAACTATAAGGTCATTGACGTTGACAAATGTTACTTATCTCTCAGCCTTAGGAAACTAGGTGTTACTAATGTCTTAGTACTTATGACCGAAGGACGGTTATTTTAAATAGTTTCCGTAAAAAAACTCGAATTTCAGCTCCCTATAACTTTACTCATGTTTTGTAGTTATGTGGAAATTTAGCTTCACAATTTTAGATAAAACCTGTGATGAAGAAGATGAAACAGTATTAATGATAAAAGAACTACTGGATACCCGAATAAGACCCACTGTTCAAGAAGACGGTGGTGATATTATTTTCAAGGTAATCTCATATTTTAGCTGTTCATGTAGTGTGGTATTCTTTGTCTTTTGTTTAGACAACTAATAGCTTGGTATTTGTTAGCATATATGACATGACTACTATTCCATTTAGTGTGATTTGTAATCACATTACTGTCACCTTATTTCAAGTTATTTCATTTTTTGAATAACTGTGAAAAAAGCCTATGAAGTCGGCCCACTTATTTAGACTGGCTGTAAATTTTTAATGATATACTTATGACACTGAACATAATTCTATACAACACCAAGTTCGCTACACCACTTACTGACTTAATAGGTTCAAAATGCTTTCTTATTCTCATCTTCTCCCAGTACATTTGTTGTAACTTTAAGGTTGGCTAGTTATCACGTGATTTATTCACCAGTCGAAATACGACTTATTAACTCTTGTACTGTACTAAACCAATGACGTTCGACCGGTATGAGCAGCCTAGCGTCCTTATTGATCTTTTGCTTCCCTAGCCCGTCCAGTTGAGTCCAGAACACCAATAACAGCTCCCGCCATGCGAATCATTTATTTCAAACATGCTTGGCTTATATAACAGCCAAACAGACCGCATCATACCATAAATTAGGAAATAACCTCTATACAAGATCAAGCCAAAAAGTGGCTGTGAACGTGGGAGACGATAACTAATAAACTGAACATAATTTAAGAACAGTAAATCGTACAGTAATAATCTATGGGTCAAAATGAATCTTATAATAAGAGGAATATAGATATACCTAATTTAGTTACTGAACAGTTGTACATTAGGAATATATAATATTAGTCTATTAATAGATCTCAGAAGTTACCCGTAATTTTATCTTCACTAGGATATAACGAAATTAATTTACTGGCTAAGACTATACAGGTGACATGGTCCTGTATGGTATGACACCTAAGATAATACGTCTTCTCAGCATCTTGATTAATAACCCAAGGATGCTCGAGTTGTATTTTCCCGGAGTTATTTGAGTATTGTTCTACAATTATACCACTTATGTTGGCTAAAATAATAGCTAAAATCTGGTATCTGAACGTGATCACTCCTAACTGGTCTTGACCCCTGGTCGTTCCAAATCATAAGAACTATTATATTCCTCTAGTGATAACCACAGAGGGATGAGTGTGACTGAAACATTAGCCCTTATAATCATTCAACGTCTAAATGGAGCAAGGAACACTGCAAATTTGAAAAAACAGGCTTAGATGCGGTTGTTGATGTGTTGTGCAAATTTTTAGCCTTCATTACGTTTTACAACGCGGAAACATATACTGACCACAGACTTCAATCATATTCTTTCACTTAAAGTTGGGACTCGAGTTCGGGGGTCGGTTGGTTTTTTTTAATACTTGCCACTATGAGGTGTATCAGAGAAATATGTAAAGTTCCAGAGGGCTCCTCATTCGGTTTCAAATGGTCACATTAGGGGATCCACTTGCCCGAACGACGTGGTTCAGTTTGCTGAAAACCCTACCAAATTACAGTCTTATGAACACTTTTAGTAACAATACGAGCACGTTTGGAGTTCGTTTCTCTCCTTATAAATATAAAATGCGACTTTAGGGCTGGTCCGGATCAGCTCCTAGACTGACCATAGACAGCAAAGTAGTTGAACGCGTTGGTCACTTAACTTATCGTAAGGAATTCACTTTTCCTGATGGTAGGTGTTTCCGTATTTATATTTTTTTCTATGAATTCCTAAACTGCATTATTTGTTCTTCAGGATTTTAAAGATGGTATAGTGCGATTAAAACTACAAGGATCTTGCTCAAGTTGTCCTAGTTCCGTAGTTACTTTGAAAAATGGTGTACAGAATATGCTTCAGTTTTATATACCAGACGTATTAGGCGTCGAACAAGTTGAAGATGAATTAGATGCGGTATCCAAAGAACAGTTTGACAAATTAGAGCAGAACATACATAATAAAGAAAAAAGTGAATGAACAAGTTATTGCGTAGATTAAACGATGGGATAGTATTTATTGTACATCGTCTGATGAGAGTCACTTGTTAATATGAAATAATGTACATACTCGAATTCGCTATAGTTTAATCAATAAAATATCAGTAATATATCTTGACCAACTTTGTTTTCATTTGTGCTGTTTCTTCATATCAACAGATATGATAGAGAAATAACCATGTTGTAAAGTAAAAGTACAAAAAGCTGGGTAGGTGGAAGTGAAACCATTCAGTACATGCCAGCTTTGTACGGTAGGATTATTTTACGTCTGCATATATTTATCAAATTACTGAATAAATGTTGTTATTTTTCCTGTCTCACTCCCAGTTTAGTTGACACTAAA